TCCTTCCCTTGCAAATCTCTCTATGAAGAGTGAAGTCTTGAAGATAGGGGGAGGTCCCCAACATCTCTGCTTTCCATCCCTTGTTCACCTTGTATATGAATTCCTCTACTCTCCTCCGCAGCTCATCTTGTTCTTCATCATCTTTGTCGCCCACCACACCTGGGTCCTCGTTCTTGGAGTCGTTGGTGGCATCCAGTGATGCTTCAATATCTTTGGAAAGCAGCAATGTTTCTTCATCTCTTAATTTCACATTTCTCTTATTGGTGAGACGTAGCGTTGAGGCTCCAATTCGAGCTTTTTGATCGGAATGTGAAATGGGCTTTGAACCGCTTACGAGTAGGAGGACTACAATCAAGTTGCAGACACAGAAGACGATGAGAGAGTTGGAAGCAGCCAGAGTGATCCACTCCACTGTAGAATCCAACATGTTAGAGAGAGAGAGAGAGAGAGAGAGGCTGGAACCTTGCTTGTCTAAGACTAAGAGGTGCGACCGGAGAGCGAGATGGAGAAGTTCCACGCCCCCTTTAAATTGAAGCTCTGTTTTGACTTTTGAGTTTTGATGAGGAAGCTTATGACGTGTAGTAACCAAAGTCATAGAAAGTGTTTTATAGGTCCGAATATGATATCGGAAAGGTATTAAAAAAAACTTGTAACCAATCGTAAGTAATTACTAATTAGTAAAAAAACTTGATGGATTAAAGTGTGTTTTTCCAGTATCATACCTTTCCATCGTCATTGATCAAGTGTTTAAGTGATTTTCATGTGAAAATTTTTTATGATGATAATGATAGTAAATAATATATTTTTAAAATTTTTTATATTTTTATGTCTACGAAAATTTATTTTTATTTGTCATATATTTTTGTGCGTTTTCATCTTTTTGAATTTTTATTATTTAATTATGATATTATAAGTTGATACATTTGACCTGAAAGGTTAAATTGTTAATCCACCACCAAACATGAAAACAATTTCACTTTTGGATTAGCTTTAGATTTTGTATTTTATTTTCATATGTTTTCTACACTTTTTCATATTTTTTATTTTTATTATTTAATTATGAGATCAAGGGTTGACACATATTATCTAAAAGGTTAAATTGTTGACTTGTCACGGGAAAAACAGTTTCATTTTTGGGTTAGTATTAAATTTTATATTTTATATCCCACATCAATAAAAATAACTATTTTTACATAATTTCTGTATTATTACATAAATGTTTTTTTACAAAATTTCTGTATTATTACATAATTTTTTGCGGTTTGTATTTTTAAAATTTTTTATTTAATTATGATATCAAGGGTTGAAAGGTTGAATTGTTGATCTGCCACCACAAAAAATACTTTTATTTTTGGATTGGTTTTAAATTTATATTTCATTCCAACATCAATAAGAATAAATATTATTTATCACACTTGTTTTTCTCTATAACTAATATAAAACATTAGAGATGTGTCCAATTTTCTATTTGAAAAAATATATTTAATTATGACATCACAAATTGGTTCATTTGACCCAGATGGTTGAATTGCTTATTTGCCACCAGGATGGAAGAACGGTTTCATTATGGGTCAATGTTAAAAAGCATGTGTTTTTTTTATCATTAAAAAGCATTGAATATAGACCTAATTGATAAAATTTATGGGTGGAAAAAATAGCTTAAATATAGAATTCAATGAGAGAATGGGAGTTAATACCCTAAATATAAGATTTAATGGGAGGAAATTGAATTAAGAGAAAAATAGTAATTCAAATTACATTGTGTGCCCTCACAATTAAAAAGGGACCAAATTCAAAAATAGGGATACTGCAATTAAGAATAGGATTAATGAATATAATAGGGGTTAATACCTTAAGACTGTGTTTGGACCAAATTCAAAAATAGGGATACTGCACTTAGGAATAGGATTAATGAATATAATAGGGGTTAATACCTTTAGGCTGTGTTTGGTTTGAAGGAAAAAGTAGGGAAAGGTAGGGAAACCTTTACAAACCTTGTATAGATTTCCCTACCTTTCCCTTCCTTTCCCTTCCTTTTTCCTTCAAAACAAACATAGCCTAAATATAAGACTTAATGAAGGGGATTTGAATGAAGAAAAAAATAGTTGTTCAAATTACATTTCTGTCCTTACAATTAATGAGAGACTAAATTCAAATATTAGGATATTTTTAATCTTCACACTTTTAATAATAGTATAGATATAGATAATCTTTCTACTCTCTAGGTTATTTAATCATTAATGTATTGAAAAAGTTTATTCAAGGCATCTCAAGAATATCTCAACTGCCATCACCAAATAATCATTGCCCGATGAAGCTTATGCTGCAACCTCAGGGCAGGCCCAAAGCCCACGTCTCCTTATTCTACTTCTATTCCAAAGGTCCATATAAGATGAACCCATTAAGGCAGCCCACGTCTCCCAAGTCCCCCATCGCTGAATACAACAAATAGTTAATCAGACTTGTCCAAGACTTGTCTACTTAGTCGTTGCTTGGTTGTCCAAGAGAATAACAATTAATTAACAAATAGTTAGAACGTGATTAGTTAGCTCTTATCTAGTTGGACTGGCTTTTCTTGATGGCAATCTTGTCGACGGAGACCCCATTATCATTACAATTATATTTATTATTGGGATTGGTGGTTATAGCAATCTTCCTTCCTCCCTTTTCCAACTGGACAAATATGTTTATTTAAAAGACCCAATTGGTTTGTTTGGTGGTTAATATCGCTATCTAAGTGACCCAATTAGGGGTGTCAATGGACCAATAGGGTTTGGATTGGATCCATCCGAATCAAAGTCAATTTGAACGAATTGGATGGACCACTGGGACATATCGAATTGTAGTAATCAGACTTATCAATGAATTTCCTAACATTTTCTCTTTGGTGGGGACGATTGAATAAATACTTATCATTCATTTTCGGAATTAATTTAATCCATGGAAGTTGGTAGAGGTAGGGAATACCCATGTGTGAGCCAAGATAGGCTTACCTACATTAAAGCTAGTTATATATCTCAAGTTGACCTCTTGTTTTTGCCAAACCTGTGAGTTGAGTACGTACAACTCACAAGTGAATGTAGTGTTCTTATTGCTCTTATCTGACCTTTCCAAAACTTTTTCCCGTCTTCAAAGGTCAGACCCACGTCACCATCTTTATCTCTGACAGGAAAATTTGCCATGTCTCTGCTTCCTCCACTTCTTCACAGATTCAATCTCCTCCTCCTCCTCCTCTCTCTCTCTCTCTCTGAGCTTCTGGGCTTGCACTTCTTTAGCTATATTTACTCTTGGACTCTCTAGCTTTCCTTCTCTCTCCAGCCTCCTCAATCTTAAGCCTGATCTTCACCTTCTCCATGCGAGAATCTGTCTCCACAATCTCTACATAATAATCAGAAGGCCTGAGAAAAAGGAGTCCCATTGAGTGTAACCTTTCAAAAGCCAGCCAAGTTCCTTCCAGTGCTTGAGTGTAGAAAGCAAGCTCAGGAGCCAGGTCATCATTCACATCAATCTCTTGTTCTTGATCAATACCAATATAGAACTTGTGGATCCATTCCACATTGTCAGGCCAACTTGTATCACCTAGCTTCTCTAGGAGACCATCCCTGTTGTATATGGAGTTCTTAGAAGGTCCAGTCAACACCGCATCCTCTTCTTCTGATTCTGATTCAGATGCTTCATCATCAACATCTCCCATCCCATCTTCCTCTGTTTTATCCACAATGAACATTGTTGGTTCTTTTTTCGACAACACCCATTTGTATTTGATTATGAACCTATTTGAAGAACAGGGAAAAAAATGTAGGAAAGCTGTAAATATAAACCATGCATTAAATAACACCAGAAGCACAGATTATTCGATCTCCAATCACTGAGGAAATGACATGCCATTTCTTGTCTAGTTATTGTCGTTTCATGCACTGATTAATATGGAGTTTGCAATTGAAAAGATATAGAATGGGTCATGACAAAACTAGCACTTACCAGATTATTAATTCTTTTTTTAATTAGAAATAGTAGTATCTTAATTCTTAATTAATCAGGTTTCAAGAACATCCAAGCATTGTAAGTATTTGAAAAGCATGACCAGTTCAATGGAGCGGATACCCACATTATATTCAATGACTTGTTGATCTGTTCGGGCATTTGGTACCCGAACCTGACTATATAGGTTTATAATTGGGTATCAGGATACTCACGTTAAATATAATTGGGTTCGGGTAACAAACACCCTAAATTCAAAACCCAAACCCTATAGGGTTTGATAAAAAGATCCCATTTGGGTCAGAACGGGCCAGTCACCCTAATATTCCCGTGAAATTGCCATCCCTGAGAAACCAAAAGTGAATGGGCTAGGCTTTAGACCACCAACAATTGAGTGGTCCGCAAGTAGAAGATTCAGCATGTTTGACATAACCGACCCAATTATATAGGGTATGGTTCTACATCATTGGGTTAGGATCGTCTTCGCTTGTTTCTAAGTTCTAACCTATTAAGACCCAAACCATATATAAAATATTATTATCTTTAGATGTGTTAATTTACCAAATTTAAAGATTTATCGTCAAATAACAAGATAAAAATACACTGCCAATAATAATCGGGTCAACCCAGATAGTCCCAGTGAATGATTGAGTCAGTTTTGGATCTGTAATAACACTAAAGGATCTAGTTCGAGACTGATTCAGCACATTTATTTAGGCTGTGTTTGGTTTGAAGGAAAAAACAGGAGAACCTTTACAAACCTTATATAGGCTGTGTTGGTTAATACAAATTGCTCTCCCTTTCTAAAATGTCAAATTTGATGTTTCCCAGAGATGCATTTTTCTAATTGATGTGATAACACATATTTCTCACACAATTGTATTGCAATGACAATGGCTATGCCACCATACCAAACACCCCCTGTTGTCATAGACAGCACACCATGGACGTAGATTCTATAACCTAGCGGTGCTTGTTCACACAAGCTGCAAAACGAGTTTGGAGAGAGGACCTTCAAATAGTTGGGAGTGCCAACTCCAATTATGAATGGTATGCAATTACTAGACATGAGTCTGATTAAATGACTCAGCCTGCTCTAGGAAATAACAAAAAAATGAAACAACCTTTGCATTTCCATGCCCAAAACTTCAAATATGCAGATGAGTATTTGTTCGATTTTACAGCATCTATGATCAGTTTTGTATTGCGATCAGAAAATCTGCTAACCAAGACCTGTTCCTGCTTCCTTGCGCGGTGCATCAGCCTTGATACGAGGTGGCCTGATTATGCGATCAATAAGCCCATATTCGAGAGCCTCTTGAGCATTGAAACGCTTCATTCGGCTCAGGTCCTTGTGGATCTATAAATGAACGTAGACAGACATTCACATCAGTTTACATTGCTAAATACAGCCAAAATCATCAAAGAAAATGTGTCCCTGTAGAACAGATAAATAGATAATTGTACCAAGTGCAACTGTGGTTTGAACTTGAAGTTCTGTTGTTGAACAATATTAAAACAAGTTGGCTATTCAAATTTAACCAGTGTTTCATGCGACAGATTCCGACATCCCATGGATTCTTGAGGAATGCTTTTATTTAACATTTCCCCCTTTTTCTCCTTGTTTATTTAGCATATGATCAATGCCATTATTCCCATAGAATGTTGCCAAGTGACAAATATAAGCTTCTGTAGATTATTCTAATTTAACAATAGATGACACTAAACAGAATGGAATGGCGAAACAGAAACAGGATCCATGTAGTCCACTTGGAATAAGGATTCATGTTTAAAATACAAAAATAAATAGAGTATGTCCACGTTTTTTGTCATGCCGAGTCAATCATCAGATTCTATTTCTTGTACGAGTCCATGTAAATTACTGACAACCAAATTTCCCTACCCATACGGGTGGCAAATGGGTGGGTTGGGTTGGGAGTGGGTTGAGTGCCAACTGCCAACCCACCCATATTGACCCACTTAGTAGGTCACATCCCACCCTGAGCCTCAGGTCAACCCGTATACCCAAAACTAAGAAATGCAGAAAATTGCTGAGATTTTGCAGAAAAAATTACAGAGAATGCAGAAATTTTGCAGAAAATTACAAAAAGTGCATGAAAATGGAGAATTGCCAAAGTGCAGAAATTTTATAGAAAATGCATGAAAATACAAAAAAAAAATGCAGAATTTTTCCAGACATTGCAGAAAATGCAGAAAAAGCACAAAATTGCAGAAAATGCATAGAAAAATTACAGAAAATGCAGAAAAATCACAGAAATTACAGAAATTTGCAGAAAATGTATGAAAATGCAGAAAAAACTTCTCTATTAACTACTTACACCACCCAACCAGCTTTCTGGGTAGGTAAATGGTCCAGGCTTTAACACTGGTTTACACTCGTATACATGGCATCATTATTTTTTTTATTTCTTTTCTGTGCTTTAAATCAATAATTTGATATCAATGCTGGCATGCTCACAATTAGGGCTGTAATCGGATCGGATTTGGATAGGATTCGGATCAGATTCAGCAAAATCTGAATCCGGTCCGATTATTAAAAGTTTGCATCCGAATCCAGTCCAAAATCCAATTGGATTTGAAGACCTTGGATTCAAATTCGAATCATAATGGACTCGGATTAGATTTGGATTTAATCTGATTTCGCTTTAATTTTGTAAAATAAAAAAATAAAAGTTATTTGCTTTTCAACTTTGATATATAATAAATTAATGTAAATATAACATATTGAATTTATTATATATAACATAATATATGAAAGTATATTATTTATGATTTTAAATATAATTATATAAAATTTATATATTAAAATCAATAAATATTATAACGTAATTGGATTCAGATTTTAATCGGATTGGATGGAGTCAAATGTGATTCTGATCCAATTACATAAATACATCATCCAAATCCGAGATAATCAGATCCAGCCTCAGTCAGATTTCCGGGTATCATTGACAGACCTACTTAGTAGTTAGTACTTACAATGTGTATCATTGACAGGCCGAATCTGAGATAATCATGTTGAAGTTGTGTTTGGTGATGACAACTCATTAGATACACAGATCCCTAATAAGGAGTTGGGTCTGTCAAAGAAGGTGGACTGTTCAGCTTCACATTGTGAATGACGTATTCCAGTGAGAAGAAGTGATTTGTTACAAGTGAAAGGGACTAGAAGAGCTAGGGGTAGACCAAAAAGGACATGCGTAGTAGTAAGAAATGATTTAAGCACTAATAATTTAACAGTGGATTTGGATTTAAATAGAACGGATTGACGAAACAGGATTCATGTAGCCAACCCCATAAGGTTGGGATAAGGCGTGGATGATGATGATGATGATGGTATCATGTTACAACTTCTGTCGCCTTATGAGGAACAGGAATGTAATTTTTCCCTTTATACCTTTTAGTATAATAGAAGATGGGATCTCAATTGAGCCCCATGATCTGTTCTCTTCAACTCTCTCTTTCTCTTCTATCTTGTCCACTTCTCCACACTTTCTTTTCTTCTTCTCTTTTGCTGCAACTCATCTTTACACACAAAATGTATAAAGATCACTATATTCTAAACCTGTAGTGTGGTCAAGAACTATCATCCAAGTACATTCTGGACTTGTGGATAGGGGAGCTCTGTCTAAGCTAAGTCAATAATTTCTACTTCACGATCCTGGTCTTTCTATCTCTACAGGTGAACCTCCAAGAATTAGCTATTAGTTAAGATTAAGGAACATCCTCATCCAGATAGTCTCAAGATCTGCTAACTTGATTGCTAACAGCTTTGCAAAAGGAGTGACAAGGGGGCATTATATTGGGGGATTAGCAATACCCAATTTGAAGGAGAAATAACCTTCTTTTAAGTATTAAGGGTGGTTGTGTTCTTTTCTTTGTCAACTCTTGAACCATGGCAAGCAGAAAGTTTAAGGGCATCTTTCAACGCCATTCAGAGGAACCTAGTGGAAATCTTTCAATCAGCGTCCCCTCACTCTCCCCTACCAGGGGACCTTTCTGTCACACATGTTGGAGAGAAAGCTAAATTTTGTTCTCACCAAAGCCAAAGTCATTGCCCTTCTTACTAGTTTGACAATCGCAAAAGAATGCAGCCTCCCACTTTTATTGTGCTCAGTGATTTGGGCAATACTATAAGATGGGCCAAAAGAACTGCTTTAGGCTCATGAAGGGTTGGTACATTACCTTAATGGCATCAAAGACACATTCAACTCCTTCCAAGATAAAAATTTGCTTAATTCATCAAAGCTAATTTGGAAGCTGATGGTTTAGCTAGGATGTAGCAAAGATATTTTTTACATTCTTTTACATGCATATACATCTTTTCTTTAAAAATAATGATGATATTGTTACTTGAAGGGATTGCCATTTCTATCTTTTTTTCCTTTTATACAAAAACTTTTTTTGTTGTCAATGAAAAAGTTCACTATTTTATTTCTAGTCAGAAAATGAGTAAATATCAGAATGATTGGCCTGCATTTCTGCTTAACTTCATGCCAAATAGATCATTGTGCAATTTGACTTTGAAAAAATGGCATAGTGTTGATGCAAATATCACAGTGACCACTTCAGATTTTGCAATTACTAATTTATCAAGTCCATCCATCCAAGATAAGTTTTAGTAAGGTGAATAAAATACCTTATCAACAGGCTGACCTGTCTTTTTAGCCAACTCTTCAAAAAGGTAATCTCTGATTCTAAGAAGCTCATTTGCTTCATTACGAATATCATCAGCCTACAAGAAAATTTCAACTTACCATTTGTAATCAGTCTCACTGATTTTATAGATACTTTTGAAACTATAAGAGGCTCTATAATAACTAACAGTCTGCAGTCATACCTGACCACGAGCAGAACCTGCTGGAGATTGGAGTGCAATTCTTGAGAGAGGCATTGCAACACGGTTACCCTTAATCAGTTGGAAAAAATAAAATCTCAGCTGTGGTGTTTAAATACCAAGGCTCAAAGTATTTGAATTGAAAAAACACAAGGTACCCATTTTTGTTCACTATAAGAAGGTACTGTAACGCAGTTGGTGCATCAGTGAACCATCATGCAATGTAAGATGGTACATGCCGGGTACCATACATTTAATTCATCTGAATTCTTGTCTAGTAGAATATTATGATGTTTGCTATGAGCATTCAGACCTTTTCTCCAGCTGCTAGAAGGAAGCCTGCTAGATTATAAGCATAGCCCACACATTGGGTGCCAACAGGACTTTTCAAGCTCTGCATGGTATCATATATAGCCATACTCGGGGTAAGCTGCAAATCATGGAAATTTAATTAGAAAAAGTAACAAGACAGGAAAGAAAGGTGATGACAAAAGACTCAATCTAAAACAAACTTACATCTCCACCAGGACCATTAATATATAGATAAAGCTTCTTTGAAGAATCAATACTGTCAAGGTAGAGCATGGTTGCTAGTATTTGATTGCTGAACTCTTCATCTATATGTTGCCCAATAAAAATAACGCGTTCACGATACTGCAACTCAAAGAATTCTTGTCAGATTTTACAAACATAATGTTGTGTTTGGTAAAGCAAATAAATTTGCACTAATGCAAAACTATGGCAGTGCAAATGATTTGAGTGTAAATTCTGACCTATTTTCGTTTCAAATTTTAGCTTATTTTGTTTGATTGCAGTATAAATGAAGTAAATTAATACATGAAGCAGGACAAAGTAAAACTCATTACCAAATTAAAAGAGAATTTGCATTGTTTTATTTGCACTCCCATGCATTTGTACTAATTAAACGAGAATTTGCATTGCAACAAACACAGCCTATGGAATAAAATATGCAGCCCATATAATTCGAGGGGGGCATATGAAATTTGCATAGTAATGAATAATGATGCATGTGATGCACATGCATATGGTAAAGATCCACCATTCAGTGGACCTCACCCAGGATATTCAATGCTAAATTTAGCTTAATTACATGATCATTGTCATCCAATCTATAAGTTTGTTTATCAATCAGGAATAGGGAGATCCAAAGAAAAGGCCAATGGATTTGATGGTTTGTACCATTAAACTACATCAGTCTCTCAGACAGAATATCTTCTAGGAGAGATCCTTTGAACTACATATCCCATAACCCATGGGTGCCTTAGATAGCCTCTTATTTCAAATATTAGGGTGGTTGTGACTTACAAGAGCATTCCATAAATCAACCCACTGCCAAGTTCCTTCACCAGGAGTTCGATAGGGGACTCTTGGTGTACCTATGGGCATCATTCCAAAACGTGCTCTTGTTGGTTTCTTGTTACAATTCCTACAAACAAAGACAAATAATGCATGTAGAATTAACATCCAACTAATCATCAGAAGGCATGGAATATTGATCCAAGAAGCAGCTAAGAAAGATAATAACGCAGTGGTGACAATGGCATATACAAGGAGCACTTCTCCTTAGGACAATTGAGGGGAAAGTTATATACATGCATACACATGTTATATATACATAGATACTGTTGTTTTTTTTATCAGCCTATACATAGATACAGTTTTCTTTTTCATAGAAAACCCAACAAAGACGAATTCATGCCCAATAGTTAAAAAAAGTTCTGCTCTCTCCAACTTACCACACCACAAAAACTTGCATGTATATGTTTTAGACTCACAACGAAGTAGAGTACAAATTGCAACAATATCAATAGGCATTCTTTTTCGGAAAGGGTTATTATTAGAATGTAAATACACTTTTACTAACTAAGTTTTAAGATTCAGGAACATATAACTTTAGAGCTTAAACTTTAATAAGACATAGAAATGGCATACTTACAGGAGAAGTATTTATGAGGCCACAAAGCCCATTTCCTCCTTCCCTACCCCCCAAGAGAGAAAATATAAAAATAAAAAGGAAAAGAAAAGGCACAACAATAAAAAAGAAGTCATCCATGAGAATAGGCGAAGACACCAGCATGGCACAGATAAATAAGAGCTGCTTTAGAATTAAAATCACACATGCTTCATTCTTTGAGGTCACATTTTCTCATCATAAATCTAGAATTTTTTTATTCTTGCCTTGAATGAATGAAAGAGCAAATTCATGTCCACATGCTTTCTCTTTTCCCCAATTTGTTGTTGGCAGATCAATTGACACTTCCTCATAAATTTGAACATATTGAACTTAAACACAATGATAAAACACATAAAATTGGAAAACAAATTAATCGAAATGTTGTCAATTAAGGAGTGTTTAGTAATAAATTTTAAGTTGTGGTGCAAGACAGCATGGGCATATATGGGAAAGGGGTGCACAATTACAATTCTAAAATCAAGTTAAGTAACCTGAAACTGCAACAAGTTTGCTGATTATCTAATATTTATGATGCCACCAAGTCTTTGGGCCATAAAATAACCAGAAGACACAACTATAAACGTGTTTAGTCAACTAAAATATGCATAACATTATATGGCAACTCAGTCAAACAATGTATTACATCAGCAAACCTACATATGCAAGTCACGTTGGAAATCATTGAAACAGATATAAATTACCTGAAGCCTTATTTTTCATGAATCATGACCTAGAGTCTTTAAACCATGACATAGATTTGACAGCACAATTTGATGCATTTAGGATAATGCATGATAAAAGGTCATTACCCTAGTTGGTCCTAGCAATCTTGGGTCATGGGAGAGGTAGACTGGATAAAGACCTAACCTTGCCTTTTTTTCTCCTTTTTTATGCCTGCTAACTTGAGATTTTATCATTATATCAAGCAATAGCCCCTTCCCATGCATGTAATACTTGAAAATTTTTCTTTGCTAAAGTGGGAAGAAAACTTTTATTTGAAAGAGAAAGCACAAAGAAATAGAAACAAAGAGAGGAAAACACCACAGAACTATGTTGAGCAGGCAATAGATAACAATACTTGGATGTGATTTCCCCTCATGGGCAACATAAAAGGATTTACAAATAGAAAAAGGAAATAAAAGAAGTGATGGAAATGAAAAGTAATATGAGCCAAAGAGGAGAGAGTTCGATTAGGAGAGACAAGGTTGAACAACCAAAACAACAATTACATCATATAACTAGAAGAATCCCCTAAACCTATACGTTTTCATATTAGAGGTCTTCCTTTTTGCAACAATCTCAACATTTGAGTTATCCAATCAATCAAGCAAACCAAAAGAATGCAATATTCATCTGAGAAACCTCTCCAAGGAAAGCATGAATAGTGTGAGAATTGACATATTCTTCAAAGATAGTTTCCCAAAGACTGAGCCACTGTCCCTATGATGCTTCTCCAGATCTCCTAAATGATAAAGAAAAAGATTGGAAGTTCTGCAAATTCTATAACCCTTCAAGATATATGACCAAATAATTGCTTTTAGTTTGGAAAATCCAGTGAACAACATGGGTTTCAAAACAAATCCTACTGTATCAGTAGACAGGGCCACATACTACATTATGAAAGAGCAAAAGGAAAGTCATTTCCGCTTTTTGGAAGTCTGTCAGACAACTGTATGAGCCACCAAATCAAGGATGACTGAGAATAATCTTCTACTGCTAGGAGGCCCAGATCATCAAATTACAGTTGTTAAATGTTAATCATGCTCTAATTGCATGGTCCTAATACATCCACCAGACTTAGGTTCCTGTCTCCTTAGAACTCAAGGATACAGAGGTCTGAGCCAATAGAGCAAACTCTGTTCACCAGACTTAGGCAAGTTATTTTCACTTAATTTGGATTCAATCATCAACGATATTGTATAGTTTCATAAGACTTTTGACTCCTTTAAGGAAATTCGAACCCCTTCACTGCCTCTTTTCTAAGTATGTTTGCTTCAGCATTTTGGAATGTGAACATTTAACTATTTTTCTCGAGCTGCTTCTTAGCAATGGCCTATACTCATGATTCACATACACATAGAAACATGCAAACTAATGGTTTATGTAAAATGATTGCAACGGCCACTTCCATCCATTAGAACAATTTTAACAAAATAAACAGACCGTGTGATTCTATCCACTAATTTTAGAGTGTGCAGTAGTAAAAAAAGTGGGCACAAAAACAATAGGCAAACAGAAAATAAGGCAATTGTCACCATTTATGCTGTTATTGTGCTTTTTTTTTTTAATTTTGGGTCCATCAATTACACAGTTTAGAACTCTGGAAACCTTCGCTTTTGTAAGTATAGCATCGGCAGAGCCACCATAATATAAGATATGAGACGAAACAACCCACCAAATATAAATCCCCAATATAAAAGAGGCTACAGAATTAACACATTTCTGATAAGTTAAATAGGTTTCCACTTAGTAGCAAAAAAAAAATATAGGTTTCCACTGAAATATACATAAAAATGATAAGAATGCAAATTACATGAAAGTAGATTAAATAAATTGAGTTACCTGGATTGGATACTCTTATGAACTCTTTCATGAAATTCAACATTCAGATTAGGTTTTCCAGTTCCTAAGGGTCCTGAAACAATAATCATAAATTAATAATTGATAAAAACAAAGAAAATATTTAACTAGATGTAGGCAGAAAAAGAGATTAAAGAAAACAAATCTAGATCGAGCGTCGGTAGCGTACTTGCAGATTGGGGTTTCAGTCCTACAAATACCTTGCTCGTACAACTGAAAGAAAAAAGGATAGGAACTTAAAAGGAAGCAAACAAGAATATAATTCAAACCCATTCGGCGGAAGAAAGATTTGAGCGCCTGAAAATTCTTGCAGGAAGTAGAAAGTGTGCGAACCTGAGAGACGGCTGAACCACTCCGCTCTGAGAGTTCAGACATGAAGAACCACTGGCATGAAGTGCGACTGCCATTTTCTAAGAATCACGGTGGGAAAGAATGAAAGACACGAGATGTTCGCAGGTTTTAAAATTACCCTGCGAAAAGGAAACAGAAAAATAGATAAGAGTTCAGCATTTCAGAGCCCAGACTTCCTGCACTTGACTTGGTGTGTGCCAATGCTGCACAACAAATCAAGTTTAGCCACGTTACAACTTCGCATGCCACCTAATTCAGGCCCGATCACATTATCATTTTTAGTATTGTCGTACACTACACTATTGTTTTTGACAATGGAATAAGTCTACCCTTAGGCTAGGTTTGGTTTGAAGGAAAAAGTAGGAAAAGGAAGAGAAAAAGTAAAAAAAGTTTTACGAATTTTGTAAATTTTTCATTATTTTTCTTTTTTTTTCCTACATTTTCCTTCAAATCAAACATAGCCTTATTGTTTAATTATTTGCCCTGCCTATCGTCTTAAATGTAGGGGGTGCTGAAGCCTATCGTCTGAATTTGATCAAATTCGTTTTTTAAGAGATTAGGTTTGCAGATGTGACATAATCTAATCTTTGTGCACTCAGAGAATAACCCAGAATCTGATCTCTACTCTCTTCACCACAGAAATAAACAAAGCTCTTTGTATAATAGACTATAACGAAAGAACCAAACACGATTTCTTGAGTTTAATTAGAGGAAGGTGGGGAGGAGATGAGGTGGTATATGGCATGTGAATTAAGCAACTCGGGGGAGAAAAAATGAACATGATTTCAGTAAGAAAACAGCTCTGTGGCAATTAGTTCTCAAGGGGGCTGATCATACTACTGCCGCTGGTTCGAGTTGCAGCGGCATGGCAGAACAGCGGAGAAAAAAATAAGAAAAGAAAAAGAAAAAGAATCATATCTCCCATGATTCTTGCCAACGGCATTGTCTCCATGGACCAATCCGGCGATGCATTAGTAATTTTGGTTCTCCTACATGTGTTCAAGACTCAAGAAGTTTCCTTTCGTCACTTGAATGTAGGCCCCTTTGGCGCACTACCGCATACCAGAACTTCAACTTCGATGAGTAATTACTATAAGTTTTTCAATGGAAGAACGGAGGAACCCGGGACTGCCAAGGTCGTCTTGCTTCACCACTGGCTTCAACGAGGCGGAAAAGGCACTACATATCACTCGAAATGCTCTAAAGAGGGCACCCCTTTTGATCCCTGTCTTCAACCACTGCTACATCACTTGCAATCCCTGCCTGGCTATAAACCCTAGACGAGAATCACATCTTTTGCTGTGGAGCGGATCTCTCTGATTTCTTTGAACACGAGTCAGTGTTCTCATGTGAAGAGAGGTCGATTCATTACTTCGAATGCGAGTCAATGTTCCAATGTGATGAGAGGCCGATTTGTTAGTGCCACCACCAACCCTTTCAACTGATCTACCAGCTTGTAGGGGAAGTGGAAAGAGGGAACGAATAGGGGGGAAGGGAGGCGAAGGAAGAAGAATATTACTACTACTGCTGGAAGTTGCAGTGGCGACGGTGATTTTGGTCATTCCAAAAACAGAGGTAAAGGGGGCGGAGGAAGAAAAAGATCATCGCCGCTGTGGCAATTTTGGTTGATCCAAAAGCAGACAGAGGAAAAAGGGACAGAGGCAGCGGCGGTGGCGATTTTGGTCGATCCAAAAATACACAAAGAAGAAGGGGGCGAAGAATTCAACGTTGCCCGTAACTGTGCTTCATCTTGGGTTGGTTTTCCAATGAGCTCCCGTGATACGAAGATCCATGCTTCCAATATCTGGTGAGTAGTAAAGGGGGTCTGGTTCATCTTCTAATTTCTCAAGGAGAAGCTTGGACTCCGGTGGCAACGGGGGACGACACCCAGATGGGTGGAATTCTTGATTGGCGAGGTAGAAATTCCTTACCATTGTCGTCTCCATCATCACTGGAGCGGTATATCGAATCCACCCTGAGTTCAGCCTGCCCACCCTGCTTTGCCATCCACTAAAACATTGGAGTCCACCTTGCGTGAAGACGATAATCTTGAATTTAGCCTTCATTCACCCTGCTCTTTCATCCATGGAAGGGTAAATTTGCCATTTCATTATTTCCGTTAGAATTTAATGGTGATGACAATAGGGATAGAGACAATAGTTAAACAGGAATGATAAAGTTAGTCAATTAGTTAAACAGTATTGCCCTTAAAAGTTTTCTTTGTCTTCATTGATGTTTGGCATGGATATCATATTAGAGTCACATCAGTATTAGAGGAATCAGAGTTGAAAGTTCTGTTTGGTTTGCCAATTTTGACGATTTTTAAAAAATAGGCAAAAAATCGATTCTTGAAATCAACCCTTTTCGGGGATACCTTTTCTTTTTTTGTGATTTCCTTTTTTCTAGTTAATTCTTATTTTTTGGGGTGGCATGGCATCCAACATGACATTAAATAATAACTCTAATGTAAAGATAACCGACCCTTGAAAATCAGTACCATTCAAAGCACTCATTTCAAAAATCACCTTAAAAAGAAAAGAAAAAATGGTCAATTAAAATGGCTCCCTTGCACCATTTTTTATGACAAATACCCCCTAAACTTTTACGTTGCGACAAAAACCCCCTCGGCCATTAAGTCAGATAATGAAAGGCATTAAATTACCAAAATACCTATTAAACTTTTTCTATTTTCTTTTTCTTGCCATTCTCTCTTAAAACCTAACAAACAAAAACCTTTAATCGTAATCCTTCGTTCATTGCAGCCACTAATACAAACATCGCCACCACCACCTCCTCCTACTCCACCCCCACCCATGATGAGAATTGCAACAATCAGAAGAAACACCCCCACCACCACCTCTAGCCAACTTCCATAACCAGCAAATGGGGGTGTTTGTTCCTTCACTCCCTTCTTGGCTACGTTTCAACTCCACTTCTGTTTCTTCCTTCTCTTCGTTCGCTCCCTTACAGTCCGTTTGGTTGGTGCGACTGAGAAGAGAAAATGGGAATATTCTCTTTAGATTCCCATTTTCATTCATTTGTTTTGTGAGACGGAACGAGAAACAATGAGATACGGTTTTCCAAAACTTGGAGCGCAGGGTCGCACTAAAACGGTGCGACCCTAGTGAGAAAGGAAACTACACGCGAAAAAAGGTCGTCTCAGATCATTGTTAGTTCATTGTCAGCACTGAAATAGTAGTGGCGTCGTTAGATCGTCGTCGACGTCAGAGGTCCGATGGAGGCACACTGAAATAGTAGCGGCGTCGTCAGATCGTCGTCAGCTTGTTGACGACATCAGAGGTCCGGTGGAGGTGCACTCAAAATGATCGCTTGCCTCTGGTTCAAGTAGCAAACCAGAGGCAAGCGAAGAAAAAGATGAAGAAGAAGAAGAAAAAAAAAAAAAAGAAAGAGGGAGAGGAGGAAAAAGAGGAGAGAGATCTTGATCGATTGAAAAATCTCCTTGAGAAATCATCTCCTTTCACGACCTTCATTGCTATTCTTGCTAAAGAAACCACCACTGTTGGTTTGGAACCAAGTTGCAAAGATATAAGCGGCACAGCCTACAATGAAGAGATGAAATAGTTGTAAATTTCCCTTCTCATCAATCAAACACTAGAATGCCAAAATGAGAAAATAAAATTTCCCTTCTCATCCCATCCTTTCCCATCCCACCCCTTCTCATCCCATCGCTTATCAGCAACCAAATGGATTGTTAGATAACCATCTCATCTCTAACCCACTAAGGCTCACTTTGGATGGAGTATAAATATGTAGAGTGCAAATCCTAATATTTTGTATTATTTTATATGTATTTGTACTATACATATTTGTATTTGTATTCCTCCCAAATTGAGCTTAAGACTGAGTTTGGAAGGAATACAAATACAAATATGTAGAGTGCAAAACCTTATATTTTGTATGTATTTATAATGTATATATTTGCATTTGTACTGCTTCCAAACTGAGCTTAAAGAACTAATTAGGAATCAATCAATAAAACCATCAACAGTGCTGGTTGCCTCGACATCATACAAGAAACCAATGAGCAGGCTAGAGAAGATCGCCCAACTCCGGCTTCTACCATCAGCAATGCTGGTAGGCCCCAGAATATACAATTACACCGGCTTTTACTGTGATCACCTACCGTGTACGACAACAACGTCAGGGCACTTGTTGGTATTGATTTCAACGGCTACCAACTTGTTGCATACCCACTTGCCATCGATGTAGTCCCATGAGGTTTTGTTAGACCTTTCTTCTTGAGCTGCAAAAGGAACAACGTAGAAGATGATCCTCCTCTTAGTGACACAAATGCATTGCAAATTAAATTAGGGGAAGGGAGCTAAGGCTCCGTTTGGGAAGAGTGTAAAACGTAGTTCGAGGGAAATATGCACCCTGGGTCAGTTTTCTCTCCATTTGGTAAAGTGGTTAATGAACCCTGAAAATTGAGGGAAATATATAATATTGTCAGCATTTCCCTCGATTTTAGAGTGTAAATGCACATCAAGAAAAAGAAAGCAAACCTATGTTGGAGAGCTTTCCATCAATGGAAAGAGAAGACTGATTTGCTCTCTTCGTCGCATCTTCTCGTCAAGGAACACCACAACAATGGTTACTTGTCACCAATGGCTACCCATTATTTCCTTGCCCTCCGATGATGGAAACAGAAAACTTGAACTACTATTTCGAGCTCCAATGGCTACCTAACATCTCAGGTATGTATATCTGTCCTCCCATGGAGATTCACCGGTGATGGCAAGACCAAAGACCTCCGAACATCACCGTATTTCACAGTATTTGGGGTATTTGGTCTTACATTGTTCACTGACGGTTGTTCTTGTTGTATTTCATAATATTTAGGGTTTCTTCTACTTTCCCCTTGGTTCCCGCATGTATTTGAAAAAAAAAATCTACAATTACAGATCTGAATACATGTTTAATGATAATAATGTTTTTTAATTTATTTTTGGGTGTTTTACAAGTAATAGGGCTTATTAGGTCTCGATAGAGGCCAGATACTCGAAGTCTAGATATCAAGGCATGTTGGTGGGGCTCATTCTCTAGGTTTGCAATGTAAAAAACTCCCAAGCACCAGCAAATTTGCATTCTCAATTTACTTTCTTCAGCCAAACAGCCATGGGTGCAAATGACCATAAAACCGGCCTGACTTTTGCATTTACCTGAACCATATTTATTTGCATTTACCCTATGCAAATATGCATTTACCCTCTTCCCAAACGGAGCCTAAGGCTCATTCAGGAAGGAGTACAAATGCAAATATGTAGAGTATAAAACCTTATATTTTCTATTATTTTATATGTATTTACATCGTATATATTTGTTTTAGTACTCCTACCAAAACTTAGAAAGAAAATTGCAATGAAGAAGCCAAAAATAACAGAACAGATGACACATGGATAGTTTTATAGCATGGTTGATGGAACTTTACCTTGAGAGGAGGCAATGATGGGTTTCATTTTGGGGGACTTGATTGGGCAGAGATTGCATTAGGGGAACATGATAGAAGTAAAAATGGAGATCAGTCAAGGGAAGAAGAGCATAAAGAGCCCGAGTTAGGAGCTTCTTCGCCAGGGAGGGCTGGAGGAGTAGTAAGGTTGGGGTTTGAAATATTGATTGGTTATTGATGAAGGGTGTTTGGCCTAACCTTACAACAGGGGATACGTGGACGCGATCTAACTAATAGATAACAGCTCAGCATGACTAGTCCGTAACCGAACAACCTCAGGTACCCAGTTATTCCCGAGCTAAAGTTACCTCGAGACAAGGACACCTTGAAATGAGATCGCCTCGGCACCAGATCGCAACAAGCACACCTCGAGGCCAAGTCACCCCGGTACTCAATCCAGTTAGAGACTTAAAGACGTCAGCTTAGGGATACCGATCTGCCACTAAGTGGTGATACCGAAAATCCCTCCAACGGTTCCCAAACTCCACGGGATCAAGCCGCATAACAACTAGCACTATCTCCCCGTCTGATTCGGGCGGAAGTGATGAACCTTATCAATTAGCAGCGTTATCCCCAATTAACGCGGAAACGAACCTCATCGTGATGAGGATCCCGGAACCACTTTGCGAAACCTGTGAGGACTCCATTATATAAAGGCTCCACCCCCCGGGGGTGCAAGGTATGCGTAATTTTTCTGCTCTCTAGCTCTTTGCATTCACAAGCTTTTAGCTCGCAACCAAGTACTGACTTAAGCATCGGAGCGACCTCGCTGGTTAAGCAACCCCGAGTTCTTTGATTCGCTTTTAGCAGATCGACCAAGTCCGCCGTCTACTGGAAGCCAGATCACCTCCAGCAGGGAGCAGTCAGATTGCGCAACATCAATTGGCGCCGTCTGTGGGAAGCGCTACGAGAAGCCTCTTTCCACTACTCAAACTCAGATCCATGGCATCCTCCAGCAATGTCGAACAGAATAACTAGTTGAATGTCTCCAGGGGGCAACCTCAGATCCCGTCCGTCTGCATCGGTCAATTCACCATACCGCTCTCTACGGGTGGGATCCCTACGCTGACCGTACCTCAAGCAACTGTGCCAGTGAACGCCCCACTCCCTCCTGTAGTGGGTGCATCTTTTGCTGAACCATCTGTGGTTCCCTCTGGAGTCGGACAGCATCAGCTCAACGACCTGGTTCACTGCGTGCGGGTTATTCAAGCCCAAATGCAACAAGTCCATCAATTTCAACACTACCAGCAACAGGTCTTGCACCACTTTTACCAGCAACAGTACCAGCAGCAGTTCCCTCTGCTGTAGCAGAATCAACAGCCGGTTCCACCTCGACATCTGACAGCTCAACAAAGTAAATCTTGTCGTTAGAATACTCACCCTCCTCGCCGGGGAGAGACTTCCCAGGTTCCACAACCCCTTGGGAGCCAAGTCTCGTCCTGCAGCAGGAGGGACAGACATGTTACTCCTCCCGCTTCACAACACGTGAACAGGTCGGGAGACACTCAGCCCACCAAAGTTGTTTCACCTCGGCCCTTGCATCAAGAAGGTTCGCTTGCAGGGAACTGGTTCGGGGTTCTGGCCACGGACTCCAAGCGAGGCCCCTCGGTTCACGATAGCCAGCATCAACAGTCTGAACCACTCCGCACCAGAACATTGCCCGATCACACTGAGTGGGACTCCAAGCGAGACCCCTCAAATTGGACTGTCTTTGATATACCAATCAGTGAGATCCTTAACGGGGGTCAAAACCTGGGTATGTTGGGACAGTCTGAGAATTCATCTGAGTGGGTGAT